CGTGATAAATTTATATTTAAGACCATTTTTAAAGGAATTGATTTAAGATATTAGAAAAATTAACAATGCAAATGGACACATTGGTGACATATAAGCCGTGTAAGAAACTTTATGCATTTTACTAAGAAAAAAAAGTTAGCTTGAATGTTGTGTCGTAAATTTTTGGGCACGTCTCATGACATGGTGCACCATGTTTGTGTGCTGGACTCTAAGTAAAGAATATTTATATATATACGACTAAACCAAACCAGAAGTAAAAATAGTAAAGTAACAACATATCAATTACGACATTTATGAAAATATTGATAACATTGTGTGTAAAAAAAATCATACTTATTTCCTGCAAAGATCAATAAACTAGAGACATTAATAAGAACCAACGATTTTATACGCATAAAGAAAAAGAACAACGCCATCATTTATACGTCATCATCATACCGCAATATCATTATCGAGATCATCTGGATAAGTTCATTATCGGTTGCATCGGCAACAATGCCTCAGTCTACAATCAAAATTCTATATTGCTTTTAGTGTAGAGTAACTTGTAATATATTTATATAGTATATATTCTTTTCTTGTATTTTTATGTACGACCTACATTTTTATCCTTTTTCTCATGCTTTCCACCTTGATGGTCTTAATGTAAATATATGTTTACTGAAATTTTTCATTCACTAGTATATATTATTAATAAATGAATATTCGCATTTTTATTGTCACATGTTCCACTTTTTTTTTTAAATCAGAGGTAACTAGATGTGGAGGTCATCGGGTCCATTTTTGGGGAGTGTAGAATAGCATAGGATATGACATTAGCCTGTCCGTTGAGAAAGTTTCAATAGTCCGTCTGTCTCCGGAGGGGTTTCTGTGTAACCATCCGTGGAATATTTGTTGGATAAAAAATAAAACCCTCATTATTGCCGAACTAGCTAGTTTTACAATGACGCGTTAATTTATCTCTTGCGACGTCCGACCACTTGATCTTTTTAGCTTTATTATAATATTTCGTTACACAACGATGGCGATACCTTCACGTATAAAATTCGTTACACTAAAAGTGTCATTCACTTAACGTGAGGTCTTCATAGTTTTATTGGACTATGTTGCGAATAATGAAACGAGTTTTATATTTCGTTACACAAAAGTGGCAAAAGGGTTAACTATTCAAGGAAATAAATTTTTGATAATATCTAGACACATCGTTACACACCGTACACAAATTACGTCGTCGAAGTGAGAGCTAGTCAACTATACGTTCTATATAGGGTCATCAAATAAATTTTTTTTTATTTTAATTTGTAATAAAGGCCAAACGTCATCAATCAATGGAATTAACATGAATTCTCTTTTATTTTAGATACCGGGTCATCCAATTTTTATTTAATAAGGTCGTTGAAAGTTTGTGGTTTATTGAAGTAAGCCAATACTTCAACATAACCCTAAAGTAAAAAGTTTAATAAAACCTATATCGAATGATCTTTGTGACAAGCTCACATAAGCAAAATTGTGGTTGCTTTCACCAAATTTTTTTTTCTTACTTCTTCACAATTCAAAAAGTTATTCGCAAATTTTATGTCGCAAATACTTTAATTTTCAAAATAAAAGCTAATTCAATTTTTGATTGCAAAATACTTTAAAAGAGTTTTGTGGCATCTTTTCTTGGTTGATATTCAATAATAATGCAAATTTGTTCTCAGCGACAGCAATGTAATTTCCTTCTACTACGAATTTTTACTTTCCGTTATCCTCTTTTGTGTATGCTTCAACTCGAAGATCAACCACACGATTCTTTAAGAGACTGTTTAGGAGTGTGTTTTGTTAACTATTCTAGTTAGCTTGATGTGTATAATAAGGTGAGTAGGGTGCAATGCTAGTTTATGTTTGTAACCAAATAGATATGGCCGTTATCATAATTTTTCAAACCACATGCACATGATATCCGCCATACAGTCTGGACCCAGCACCAAGCGATTACCATGTTTTTCTTGCATTGCAAAACTTCGTTATTGATAAGAAATTGGCATCTTCAACCAAGCAAATTTATAGCAATAGTATAGATGGTGATAAGAAAACAAAGGTTGTCTTCAAGTTAATGTCAGACAAATTGTCGAAATAAATAATTAAGTCCAGTTATGATCTAATATAAACAATATTATAAACAGAGTTGAACCCGACGGATAAGGGATGTGACTAAATTAACACAATAAGAATAAAGCTAAATGTGTTTAGAGAAAAAACGTTGGGGTCAATGGGGACGTTATTGACCTGTAGGAGTTCCAACTCTCTGGGGCCAGCAATGGAAACTCTGTCGCAAACAGAATAGCCGCAGGAAATGCTTCTGCGATATTCAGGTAGAGCCAGATGAGAAGGCTGTCGTTCAAGCAATAACGAAAGCATGCAACAAATTCACAGAGCAGGAAAACAAGACAATTGCAATGTTAGCTACAACAAAATCTTACCAAAGCAAGTAATAATAGTAATTCTACGCGTTTTAACTACCGTTCTTACAATAATAGTCAGTAAAATTTTTGTGGAACATAACTATAATAAAAATAACCTAAGCAATCCTAACCCTAATCCTTATTGTCGTGACCGGATACAACTAAAGAATAATCTACGACTTCGATGCGTTATTCATCGGATCTAGAGCCAATAGATATAAACTTGATAGACAATAGTTGGCTGGCCGGAAGTGCCCAAACCGACAAACAACGGGAAATTTTCTCATGTGGACCTCAGAAAGGAACTATTATTATATAATATATATAATTTATATATAATATATATAATTTATATATAATATATATAATTTATGTAGATAATATATGTAATTTGTTATAGGTACGGGGGCAACATAATACATGGTGAAACATGAATTATGCAGTCCAAACTGGATGGAGTATTTATATGGTGAAACATGAATTGTGCAGTCCAAAATGGATGGAGTATTTCGAAACCTTTGATTCTTAAAATACTTACAGTTAAAAGAATTTAGACCCCACAATTTTAATGATGACATATTAGGAAACGACGTCCTGAAAGAATGTGGCGATGTGATAAATTATGCAAACAGCAAATGACCGATGGCAAACGGCAATACGGCGAACCCTGCCCCATCGAATTCGCAGGTACAAAAAAAAAAAAATCGTACATCTAAATTCGGAAAACAAAGTAATCAGAGAAAGATAACTCTCCCTGTAACACACATGCTAAATTCGTAAGAATGTCTTTCGAGCTCAAAACGTCGCAAACATTAATTAACAGCGTTTTAAAATACTGCATAAATAACATATGTTTCGTGTAACTGGATGACATCATATTGTCAAGCTCTTTGCAAGAACGCATTCAAGGGATAATGTTAATTTTTCGAAAATAGATAAAAGCTAATAAGAAAATCCAATTAAACAAAAGGGAGTTCCTCAAGATACAAATCTCGCATACATATAATAACTCAAGTAGGAGTAAAAGCAAACCTCTCCATCACCGAATAAGTGCTTACATTATTGATACCAGACACTCTACAACTATTTAAACAACGATCCACTTTTACCATACATCAATGACCAAATATATAAGAAAGAACGCAGAACTTAACGCCAGTGACTTTTTTTATCAAAAATGTTTTGATACGCTCAAGATAATTCAGTTAGTCAAAATGACCGCTAGTTTTACAACAATGTTTACCCATTCCGCAGACTTACGCGTTACGTCGTTCAACAAGCACCAGATCAAATTCAGATCAAAGACTTACAATAATCATTAATAAATTAAATGTAAGCAACAGGGCAAGAAAAGATAACACTTTATCAAAACCCTTTGCAACACAACTGTTATCGCCTAAATTGAACCAATTATTTCCTTCCTCGGAAACAAACGTACGTCAATATCTTGTATGACCGAAAACAAGCCTTTACTTGACGCCGTAAGTAAAAGTTTCGTATTGATATAAGAAAAGAATATTCCCAAAATAAGTTATCCGTTGGGTCGGAGCTATACAATAGAATAGATTGTCAAATCTAAAGAAGACGTCGATTCTTAACAAAAATGATCAGGAAAGAATTTCTCAACAATGTTGTTACTTTGTTGTCCACTTATATTGACTCGCAACACATACACAATATCTGTCGATATGATAAGCGGCCAAAGCAATAGATCGATACCTCGTGTACAAAAATAATGCAAAATTCGCATGGGAGAAGTGGACTTGATGGATAGCTTCTTAGGTCGCTATCGTATAAAGGTCATAGACCGCAAATGGTACCTCCACCTATTCCGTCATATATTGGACCTTATCGTAATATATTCGTGGATACTTATAAAAAGAGCTCGATTGGAAAAGGCATCCCAAAGAAACAATTACCAAATCTTGGTTAGTCCTGCAATGGTTTGGGTGATGTTCTTTGTAATGTGGGACCTTGGATAAACGACAAAAAAGCGGTTGGCGTAGTAATTGCTCGTTAGAGCAAAGTTTACAGGCGAAAAAACCTAAAAGATGACCTCACTCTTTGCGGTCTATGGATTTAAGAAAAGACGGCATAGGTCACTGGTACATATTTTTAAACAGATTGAGATATAAATATTCACTATGTAAAGGTATCACACAGTGGTAATGTAGCAAATGTAATGTTACTTTATGTTGAAACGCTAAAAATAGTTTTTTCATAGATTTTCATGTTTTCTAATGTAATGAGATTTATTTTTGAAATATTATTTTATTGTGCTCATTAAATTTGTGGAATTCAAGGAGCGATTTTGCATGATGATGCAGAAATACATCGACATCTTTTAAAAATTAATAGGAAATTTTTATGTGGTTGCTTTTGTTTTATTTTTCCAATCAATTATACCAATTTTTCGGCTGATTTCATTTTTTAAATTAAGAATTCATGCTTATAAGGGTTAAGTTTTTTCGGACCAACGATTTACAACTTGTAAATGGATTTAAATAAACAAAAAAAACCTACAAATTGAACGTCTTCTTTTGGACAGCACCTTTAAAATTTCCGCATCACAAGTTGTATATAAAGTGTTCATTATGCTATTTCTAACCCATTTAACGCAATATAAAAAGTCACATTCATTAAATTGCAGTTAATTAATTATAAGTGTGTTTTTTTATAGAACTCGCATTCGATTTTATTTAGTCTAATTAAATCCAATAAACGCGCTTGCTAAAACTGTTATCATCAGTAGTCATAATGACATTTTCGTAATGATTAATTCACACTGATCGAATTAAAATTAATAGCGCCGGTTGTTAAATTGCGAATTTATGGCTGTGTTAACGGCAGAAGATGCAGCTTCTTGCACATGCTGATTCCTCATAAACTCGGTCGCAAACTCAACTTGAGCTTTAGCCATGCTTGCCCCCGTACTACGGTATATTGAATGGATCTAAAAAAATTCGTCATTAAATACTTGAAGAGGATTAAATTAACTAAATCTGGAATAACACGCTAACTAAATAAAAAATTTTTTCGTTTACCTTTGTAATCATCATAATATTTGCAACAGCAGTAGTAGCAAAGCAAAATGCAACTCCAAGTAATAATATTCCGACTACAATGCCCACAGCGGTGGAATCGAATTGAGAAAGAGCCACGATGAATCCGCAAAAACCGCTATTGCGAAATCCAATTGCCTGAAATACCGAAAAAATTGTTTGGAAAAAGTACACGAAAAAGAATACCATAAAATTAAAACTGGAGTCGTTGCGAAACGCTTTGTACGCTGGCCTAAACCTGAAATGAAAAGCGGTAATTAACAAATTGGTTTTTAAGAAACATCTTTTTAAATGACAATCTTTGAACAAACTGACTGATGCTACGGTCTAATAATGACTCCACTATTGTAACAATTATTCGATTCAAAGCGCCCGTGAAATAGTTTTTCTTAAAGGTCTTTTTGATAATCAAAGATTGACTTAATAATTAATTTAAGCCAACTTTTATATTCAAGTATTTTGAAAAATATTTACTAAACGATTTCAAGCTTGTTTTATTTATGTTAAATGTTACACTTGACAAAGACGCACAGTTTTGTTTTTATTTAAAATATTTGTCTAATGAAGACAGAGAAAAAGAAAAACATATTTAAATGCGATTGAAGTGTACAGAACGAAAAAATGAATTTCAATTCATAGACGCAAACTTAGTTATTTATGCTATAGCACTAAGCCAAACTCGTACAGCTAAAATAATTTATTAATCTTATTACTTAAAAAAAGAATTTTATTATTCCATTTCATAAATAATTAAAAAAAAGCCCCAATTTAAATTTTTAATTCCATTAACCTTTTTATAACGCCAAAATATAAAATATCACTCATTTCATTGCTAAAGCCAAACTTGTGCAGTCTACCTAAATTTAGTTTTTTTCTTATATATTAATATTTAGTATGCATGCCTTTGTTGTTTATCACCCTTTGCAATCTATATGGTATACTTTCAACAAGTTTTTTGCAAAAATGTAGTTCAATTTTTTGGTATTCATCCTGAAGAGCTTTCTTCAAATTGTGTTTGGAACTTATACTGTGCTGGAGAATATTCCTATCGGTCGAGGGTTGGGTTGTTGCCAAACCAATATGAGTTCTTTTGACATATTGCCAGAAATATTGTAAAATGTTGCAGAAAACGGTGGAAATTATTTTGATTATTATATATTGCAGCAATTTTCCACAAGTAATACCTTTTTCAAGTAAAAAAGTGATCAAAATTTTTGCAAGCCCCTAATGCATTATTAAGAAAAAAAGATTCCGTCACTTTGTATCGCCCGCTACCTTTAGTGCACAGAGAAAGAGAGAGGTATTGAATTGTATTGTCATGGCAGCCAAAGGTGAGTATGATCAGGTATAAGAAAGTGCCCGAAATGTCGATTAAAAGTTTCCATGTAATGCAAACCATTTAAAAGAAGGCTAACAAAACGCATTTAGGATGAGCTAATTTTGTTATCGTCTTCGGGCCCCGACGCATGTTCTTACGACCTTGAGGAGCCTTGACAATATTACAGATTCGTGCATTTATTATTGGAATTGTGAAAACTATGAGAAATCGAGTTTCTTACGAAAACTTATAGTTTTTTTTTTAGTAAAATTAAAGGTTCATTATTTAAAAGAATATCACGAGGTATATAATTCAAAGCATTGTTCATCCAAACTGACCTGTATAGACTATTTTGTAGTCAGAATATATGTTCTGCTCAGGAAGAACGTGTGATCGTTACGCACATAGGGGGTAGGTATCGTAACAAGAATGTTAACTCTGTTGAAACAAATAACAGGTGTTTGATTGAAATCATAAATATGTAAATTAGAAAGAGTCTGGATCAAACGAGGAGAATACTACATTCCAGCTAATGATGAGCAACGGATATGCTTAATTGATGTATAGCTTTTTGTACGGACGAGGAGGAATCTATTGCGTAAAATTGCATAAAACTGCATAAGCACAAACGTTCTCCTTTACTACGATCCGTCTCACTGATGGCGTACATTCCTAAAAAAACTTATTAAAAAAAGGGCAAGACGAAAATTAAGAGAGTTGAACCGATTGGCAGAAAGTTTCGCTAACGTCCGCAACGTCTGGTGCATAACGTAGAATGTACTCAAAAACCCACTAAAGGTGGGGGTAACAAAAACGATTTGGCATGATATGCAAGGACAAACTGGACACGTTCAAAAATTTCAGAACTTGAAAAAAATTCAATAGAGCCATGAACATTCGACTCTAGGCAGAATTTTGAATATTTACGAAGGATAACAACACAACGTATTGCGCAATGATTATAAAGGGAAAATAATGAACTTTTGGAATGACCAACGTAAAATCCCATCTTTGAAAACTTAACTTAGAAACTCATTAAAGTAAATATTGCGAACATTTTTTTAAAAATAAGGACGAAATTTGAAAAGGTATCAGAGAAGCTTGGTTTTCTTGGTTTTTGCAACGCTTTATAAATTTCTTAATAAATCTTTCTCTGATGGTGAAGTGTGTGCTTCCAGAGACAACTAAATAACAAGATGGTCCAACATTTTGTTCAAACTAGGAGCTTACGACAAACTTTTTGTGATTTTCTTATCAATAACAGTAGTAACGTTGTTAATTAGCAACCGTTTGATAGCTTGCTCCTTCATCCTCGCGTGGACACAAGTTCTATTAATAATATCTTGATGTGGTGCCGCATTTTCTAAAATATTTGTGAAGCAGAATCATATACATTTCTGTGTTTTTAATTGAATACGCGCTTCAGTATGCATTTAAGTGTACATATATGAAAAAAAGCAAGGAATGTGTAGATAGAAAATATACCCACTGCTTGGTATCACAACAACCGTTTCTATTTTTAAAATGATAGAATAATGGAGATTCTACTCATGGTTAGCATAGCTTTCTTATGTATAAAATATTACACATTTTATGGGACGTTTTTGCCCCTTTCCAGCTAACTTCAAGGACATTTGCGGAAAGTGAACAAAACAGTCTGAAAACTTCTGATTTTGGATATGAACGAATAAGCATTCTTGCTAACAATTTATTAATGACAAGGCAGATATGCGTAAGAGAATAAACTAATAAGCATTTGAGTAGTAATGGAAGTAGACGAAGGTCTCTATATTTGCATAATGTAGCACTATTAAAATTTTTTAGATTTTTATAATTATAATAACAGCTTACCAGCATATGTAAGAGGCAGGCGTGCACAAAAATATGTAGAATATAGAAAGACCAAGATCAGTAAAATTGCCTTTATGCAATAAAATAATGAAACCCCCGGCAATGTTTAAGCACATCGTAAAAGTGTAAACTGAAATATTTATCAAAATATATCGCAAAATATTTATTACTCATAGTTAATGAACTCACACATCCATGTGTAATACAAGTGCTTTATAAGTCTTTGAAATTCTGGAGGAATTTCTAAACTGAAGTCTTGATAAAAGCACGGTTTTAGACAGAAATTATCTGGCAATGGTGGCCAATTATTTAGCTGCGGCATGTTTCCTTGCAGTTGTTGTTCACGTCTATCCAACTCAGCTGCTTTGCGATCAAGCTCTTCCTGTCGGCGCTATACAGTAAATAAAACAATTATGTTAAAATTAGCAATCCACTTTTAAAACCATTTGCAATTGGTGTGTATTATATTTTTGTTATTTATTTTACATTATTTTTTCATTTTGCAAAGACTTAATATGTATATATTGCATATGCATATATCGGATTCCGTAGAACCACATTGGCCTATTAATAGCATTGTAAAAAAATATTTTATTATCAAGACCCAGTTTAAAATTTGAGTCTAACATCCCTCAGAATTCATTCGTTTTCAATTTTACTTAACTTTGCACCCATGGTGTGAGTCCAAGTAAAGTGACTACTTGATTAAAGATCCCCGTATTTGACACAAATTTTCTGGGGTACTGCATTTCTTGTTATTCGAGCATATGTTCTGTTTCTAAGGATGAATATAATGTTCGCATATTTTGTAGGATTGAAATTTATTTTTGCAGCCACTACTTTAAGATGATTGTATGGCTTAGAGTTTGCTTTGACGCTATGATTTGCTTGCAGTGTCGTCTGCGAGAGTGAACGTGCAGAATGCAATAGATGAGCAGTTGGTACACAGAATACTGACTTGTACGACGACTGCAGAGATTTTCCTAGAGTGGTCACACGCAGTCTTTATTTCATATAGCAAAGGAGGGATCAGGTTCCTAATAAACTATGTGTATTATATGTTATACGGTATTACATTTATATGGTAAATTTTGTACAACAGTCCTCCGTCTCATGCTTTCCAAATGCGTGATATATATTGATGAGAAGTGCTGAGCAATACTCCTTGGTTTCAAATGCTTGTCATATAAGGACCGTAATACGATGGATTTTTATGGTGGAATTGCCTGAACTCGAATTGACGCTGTGGAATTGTGGTATGTACATTGATATAGGTAGAAACAATATTCAGTAGTACTATTTCAAACAGTTTGGAAGTGACACTAAGCTACTACAACATTAACTTTTTGGTTTAGATAACGTAATAATAACAAATTTTCTTCAACTTAATGGAAAATATATAGAAGATGGCTTTGAAGATATATAATGAGATTTTTAGAGCTCCTTGTAATTATTCATGAGTCATTTTTGAAGTGATGTTGTCCACATGTATCAATTGTCGTAGAGTTGGGCGAACTGGACTTTGAATGGTTTCCCGGGATATCCCATTGGCATGGTTTGACTATCTCTCATTATGAAACTATTTGCCGTTAAATTGTTATTATAGGTTGATTGATTGGGTATTAGTAAATCATTCGTCATTGTAATATTTTAGGCCGGTATGACCATAGTGGGCGAGTTAGGTGCAAATACAACTGCCAAATTGTGTGCAAACATCTCACATGTTTTAGGCCCATCGTTCGTTGTAATATGTGATCGAATATTCCGTTTAATTGAACGATTATAATTTTTCGTTGTTTTACACAAATTATATAGGTGTGGGTACATTTATATTTTCAAGTTGAGACCGTAGTTCTTGCCCCCTTTGTTCGCTAACATTAGTTTTCAATTTCCTAGTGTCCTGCTACAAATTTTGCTTCAACAATGGGGACCTAAGTTTTTCCCATTGTTTTCTGAGGCGCTTCTGTTTAATTAGAGTTTGTATAGTGCTAAGAAACTTGATAATAAAAAGTGATCATTTCAACTGCTTTTCGCAGCGTTTGATTAAAAATTTCCGCTACAACGTCAATGTGTTGTGCGTTTTTCAAAGGAACGCTTGTTGATACATGTAAACATATTTATTTTCTATGTTTACTCCAGTTTGTGTTTATTTGAGAACATATCTGACTTGTTTGGCACAGATTGGTATTTATTTATTTTTATAAATACTGGAAAGTGACCAAAAGAAAGGTCAAACAAGGTACTCGAGACTCTATCTTTTGCAATATTTTTTGCGCCAGCGAATGCAATAAAGTCTGGGACTTCTTTTAAATCTTTATGTCAGTACATTGGTTAGCCGCTTGAGGCCAATATCAAGGTTATTCTCCTTTATCACTATGTGGAGTTGCCTTCCTCTTTGGGAGGTGATGTCGTACCAAAAGTTGAAAAACTTTTTTGAAACTACTCCTTAGTGAAAGAAAATTATTGTATTGAACCTTGTAAAGTAGGTAATTGTCACGTGAATAAATTCCTTCGAGTAATTTTGAATAACGTTTAGTATTACTTTTTAATATAATAGTAGTACCACCACAAGCTCGTTCACTAGGGTTTCGTATGTCATATGATATATTATGTAGTTTGTTAATTTGAAATCGTTTCTATTTGTAATATGGGTTTTCAAAATGAGTGATATACTTATATTTATAGTTTTAACAAACTTCGTCACTTCTTGGTCGTGCTGGCCGTATTATTTTTAACGCGTTCATTTCTTACTCAAAAGTTTGGGATAGGAGATTTCGATATTTTGGCATGTATCTCATCATGCTTTGCAAGTTTGCCATGACTTCATTTATTTCTGCTATGAATAATTATATATTTTGAATAAGTATTTGTATTATTTAGGACTGATGACCGTAATTTGGTTGGAAGCTCGTTTTGGCACTGCAATTAATTTCATTTGTTTGAACTTTAGGCTCCAGTATTTTGCAGTTCGCTTGTCTGTTTTGTTAGACTTCAATGCGATAGCAGAGCTGTTGTGAAGATCGGTACATGTAACACCCACAGTGCGCAAATTCTAGACAGTTTGCACATCGTAGGGGTCTTCAACATTTTTGTGGTTCCTTTACTGTGATTTTTCGGTGCAGTAAATATCTTAAATTGTATACTGAATGAGCTTAACCTTTTTTGATGTATTTACTTAAAACTGATTTCAGTTTGAAAAAGTGACTGTGGTTGTATTTTGGATACGGATTTTACTTCAAATCTTATATATTATATTTTGTTGAGGTTATCGAGAAACTTAACAGTATTCTCTAAGCTTTCTTATTACGTCGAAGTTAATTTTACCAAGTACCTAAGATCACGGGTTAACGACCGTATTTGACAGTTGCACCTTTCCAAAAATTCGTGGTAGTTTAGGTTTCCTTTATCACTTCATCTTCTTATTCTTGCGGCAATAAAGAAAATTTATCACAAATATTGGCTGTTTAAACGCTCAATTTGGGTTTCCAATATTTTTTTAAGAGTCGGTCTATTTAAGCTTGTATATCCTCACTCGCATCACTTTGGCAATCGACTATTTTTGGTGTGTTTTGCTACTTGTCGCTTTCTTAGGAGTTATGGGAAAATTTATAGAATGCAGCGCATTAGAAGTGCGATACCATTACTTGTCGTTGTAAACCTTGGCGTGCTTTCTGCTATAGTCTTTTTTTGAAGTCCGCACGAAAATTCTATGATCAGTACCTATTTCTCAATTTGACTTTTCTCCACTCGTGTGTATGTGCATCAGGAACAACAAACAGTGCAGAACTGAAATTTATTTCGATTGCGCGCTACTTCAGTATCACGCTATCGTTTCAGTCTTTACATATTTCAGTTCAAATTAGTCAGCAGATAGGAATTTACTAAAACTTTTTCGAATCACAACACAAAACGGGCGTCCGATTACCACGAAAGCAAACAGACTTGATGACATCTAGTGAATCCGACATTCACATTGGATATCCTAAATAGCATTTTGTAATTTAGTTTAATCAGCTAGTTGACGTATAAAGGAAAAATTAGTGCACACTCATACATTGTGGCCTAGCTTGTCGGCAACCGAGGTAGCTCAAGTCATTCTAATTACCCTCATCTTGCTAACGCTACAGATATAATCTAAGAGTCCCCATTAATAAAGACAGACGGACAAAAAAATCAATTCTCAATCAGTCTCCTACACTCTGCCCATTTCGTTGCCTAGGGGTATCTAGGCAAAATATCTTAATGCTTATCTACATCACATGATTTTATTTTGTTTTTAAATAAATATGTATATATAAATTATGATTATACGAGGAAAAAATTTGAAACTTTCTAACGTATACATTTAAAGTTTAAAACTTCAGATATAAAAAAAAAATTAATAAAAATAAATTTTATGGTTCGTTTTTTTTTTTTATTATTAGGAGAAGAAAAGTGAAACGAAGACTTACAAGTCGCCGAATGCATTTGTTGACGCTTTTATAAGTTATACCAAATTAAAAAAAAACTAATAGTTTAAACAATTATACACCAAAATAATTAATAATATTAATTTATAATTAATGATTACAATGAAGTCATTTTTTTTGTTTAGTTTTCCTTTTTTTCCTTTTTATAAAATATGGTGTCAGCTGCCAGTTTTTAAAACATATGATGTTCTCGATTACTTTTTGTGGGTATACATTTTATTTCCTATTTGTTCCTTTTTTCACCGCTTGATAAGATGTTCGCGCAAGCGCGGACCTAGCTTTACTTAACGAGAGCTCAATATGCAAGTTAAAACGTAACCTATGGTCAAATAGAACGCCTAAATCTGTGAACGAGTTGACGTCCTTCAACTTATGCGAATCAATGAAATACTGAGTAATGAATTGCTTTCTTCTTGAGAAAGAAAGCTTCTTACATTTATTTGGATTTAGTTTCAGAAAATTCAAAGAGCACCATGCAACCAAGTTGTTCAAGTCACTTTAAAGCTGATGTGATTGCGATTCTAGAGAGAAGGAAGAAAACAGTTTCACATGATCAGCGTACAGATCGCTCTGAAGGTTTAACGTCTGCACCTGGCTTGATGCTTTAATTAGACGGGTTGCCTACAATCATAGGCACTCAATAAGTTGAGTGATCACCCCCCAGGGGGAGACACAAACCCCTAATAAGGGGGCCTCTCTTACCCCGAGGTGCGCAGATGGTTCATCGTGTATGGCCGTATGAACCGCCACTCTGGTATGTGGTGAGGCCTATCGTCACCTCGGATTTATTCCAATGGATATGGAATGGTGAAAACCACAGCCACCACGATACTCCCCGTAGGGCCGTACCCAAGCAGTCAAGGCTCACAAGGATTGAATGATCTACCTTCCAGCGCACTTTCTTCGTACATCAAATCAATCC